CGATATCGTCGATATAGAAGAATAGAATTAAACCGTCGCGGATTATAATATAGGGATAATTAGGTATAGCCGTGAATCCTATCCTCTATAGCGTGCCGCTAAATTTCTCTTACTATAGTAGTAGCAATACCCTTAAGCCGAAGAGGGCTTTCCGTAGTAGTAGTCCCTTACCTAGCACTGTATAGCCTTACGGTATCTTTATAAACACCTCTTCATTAAGCCTAGCATTAACGAACGCGTTAATAGCATTAAACTACTTTATCTCTAGGTTAAATTAGGCGGCTATCGCTATTAGTATACGGAAGGACTACGAGGCTAGCGTTACGACGTAGTTATCTTTAGTCTCTAACCGTTTTTATTAATCCCCTTATACTATAAGGCGCACTTTATATTCAAGGAGGGTGCTTTCCTTATTAAATTTATAGGTGTATACCTATCTATAGGCGAGGACTTATTACTTATTAGCCTAATCACCGCGGACCTCCTATTAATAGCCTATCTATCGGTGCCCCTTAAGGTATTCCCCCTTAGCCTATAACTACCGCTCCCGTAACGGGTATAGGCGTATATCGTGGTGGTAGTTTAGCAGAGGCGGGAGATCCCCGCGGGTTAGACGCGATAGGGAGGCGTTAGAGGGAGAGGGATCTATAGTATTAGCGCCGATAGTATTACCGTCGTTAATAGCTTACTTCCTCCTATATATAGGGTTATAAGTCCTTCTAGAGTTAAAGAACGCCTTTTAGGCGTTCTCGTTCTATACCTTCTCGGTCGCGTATAGACTTATAATAGATAGGCGCGCGGGTAATAGGCGCTCGGCCGATAAGCACCCCCTAAGGGTATCCCTGGCTATCCGTTAGTGGTTATTATATTCTTCTACCTTAACGCCCCTGACTACCGCTAACGATATAAGGAACGCGCGCGCGGGATCTTCCGGGGATATTAGAGGCGTGGGAAACGGTTTAAACCTCGCAGTAGTAAACCGTGAAGTGTCCGTAGTAATAGCGGTGGACTCTCCCGTAGTAACAGCGGTAGTATAGTCTTCTCCTATAATAATAGTAGTATCCGTAGTAATAGCGGTGGCGTTAGAGTCTTCCGACTTAAGATCTAATACGTCTACGGCTATACCCCTTAATAGTAGCCTATTCGCGGTCTTATTAGATTAGGTAATACGGATAGATTATAGGCGTTCTCCGATTTCCTTAGCGGAAGCCATAGCTTATAGCGTTTTAATCCTGCTATCGAATATCTTATCTTCGTTAAAGACTATATCTCTTATAGTGATAATATCCGTTAGGTATAGCAGCTAAATATGGAAGCTATTCGAGGATTAGTATCCGACATGATAACCGATCTATGCCTTCGGTTCTAGCCTTTATAGGCCGTTTCTTTTAGCTTAGGTATCGCGCATTTTTATAAAGGCTTTATAGCCATAAGCTTATAGGTATATAAGGTTAGGTGAACGGCCGTATAGGCCTTTATATAGCGTTCGCTAGTCGTTAATATATGGTAGTGTCTTATTATATAGATATATAGTAGTCTTAAAGATCTTAGGCTAGATATATAGGCAGATTAGCTCTAATCCTTATAGCCCTCGCCCTTCGCTTAATAATGCCTTTAATCCATTCTATAACGCCGTTTTAATCCTGTAAATATAGTGCCGACGGCTAGCCTTTTATCCCCTTAGTAGCGAGGAAAGTAACGACTTCTAGGTACTAAAATATCTCGGAATCGGCTTATATGATACGTGGCCGGACGTCGAATTAGGTCTTAAGCAGGGTAAAAACGTCTTTTAATACGTGCAGGATAAAGCCTTAGTCTCTCTTTTATAGGTAGTAATTCCACGTATAACCTATATATACGTCTATAACGAATATAATAGACTTATATAGGCCGTCTACTAATGACTCCGCCCCTTCTAGATCGTGATAATTAATAGCTAGGGCCTCTCCGGGTTTTAACGGGTAAAGAGATAGTATTCGCCAGATCTATATAGATACTTACGATTACCTATACGCGTTATAGTCCGTTATACGTGGTCCTTTTATCTTTACCCCCTAAATAGCGTCGATAATTTTCGCGAGAGCGTCGGTGCCGTAGTGGCCGAGGCGTTTATACCACCGTTATACTATAGTCTTCTACGGTTACCGCGGTTATCGTGATCTTTTATACGGGTTATCGCGCGGGCGCCTTACTAAGACCGCGAATGCGGTGGCGGCCGTAGCTTCCGCGCGCTTAATTATATACTAGCCGTGGATATTTAGTAGCTTATAGATAGGCCAGTTATTAGCGGAGCTAATAATAGTATTATTTACGGTATCCAAGCGGTAACCTTATAGGCGTAGCTAGCGTTCCGAGACGATATTGGTATAGAATTCCTTATAGTATATAATATCACGGAGGCGTAATAGCCTCTTCGTGCCCGATAAGGATTATATACGTAGCTTAATATCTCCGTATCCGAGGATAGAAGCCTTATAAGTACCCACCTAAAGGGATAAAGATAAAGTATCTGTGGGTAGTCTAACAGCCGTAAAACGGCCTCGATTATTAAAGATATAGATTAACGATCCTGAATCTAGGATCGTGTAGTATAATAGCGCTCTGGCTTAGTTAACAGACAGGGATACCCCCTATTCTTATTATAATCTTAATAGTATCGTCGTACGACGACGGCGCGCTACCCCTTAGGTTAGATAGGCGCCTAGTCCCCCTATCGCGGTAACGGATAGGTCTTTATAAACTATTATAGTAGGCGTAGTATTATAGAGTTAATCTTCCTAGACTTCCTTTATCTTATTAGCGGTAATAGCCCCTAAGGCTTCCCGCCTCTTCTATATCGCGGTATCCACGCGGCTTTTAAAACTATAGTTATATATCTTCTTTTCCGCGACCTTTATAATATCTTCACGGCTATACTAGGTATAAGGGCGTATATCCGGCCTTATATACTAGTAGGCGGCGGTAGTATAGGGGTTTTTATATATCTCGTAAGGCCTCCTTATTACGGGAGGGATAGCCTTTACGGACGTATTGCTACGAGGACGCTTCTTATTATCTTTATTATTAGTAGCATCCTTAGTATCGGAGAGGTTCCTAAGGGTACTAAAGGTGCCTCTCCCGACTCTAGGCTTTACGGTAGAGAATTATAGGCTTTTTATATTACTAAGAACTGCACGTAGAGCCGTTACGAAGTCGTTAATCGTTAGCTTATTTTCTATAATCTTATTATAGTTATTTACTAGGTAGTTATTACTCTATTCCTGGGCGATAGGTCTAATAGCTTTTAAGGCGACTTCTACTTGACGGTCCACGCTTAATAGCTCTAAAACGCCTATATATTTATAGTGTATTATCGCTATTTTCTGGCTTATTACCTAAGCGTTTATATTCTTAGGTATAGCCTTTATAGGCGTAGTGTATTATCGGTATAGGACTAGGGCTTCCTTATAGAGATCTATAGGGGTTAGTCCTACGTGCGCGTATAGGAGAGTAAGCCTAAGCCCGTGGGTTATTTACGGTAGTATCCTATAGCTAGGTAAGGAGGCTATATAATATAGTATAAACGGTCCTTTCGATATAGGAGCGTACCTTATTAAATTCCTTCTACTATATATCGTAGTCTGTCTTTTTTTTATAGTATACACGGCGATCTTAGAGGTAACGCGTACGCCCCTTTTTAGAGAGGTAATCGATAGATATAAGCGTCCTAGTTATTAGTTCTTTCGTTACGGCCGTGGTCGTAACCTTCCGGCGGGCGGCCGTTTTTTTCTTACCGGCGGCTATAGCCGCTATAGTAGCGGCGGCGCCCGCGACTTCCTTGTCGCCCTTTAGTATAATAGTGGAAGACGGAGTAGCCGTGATAGTGGTGGCTATAGCCTCCTCCACGTTAGGGTCCACGGCGAGAGCCTTATATTTACGGATATTAAGTGGCGTAGGCTTAAGAAGTAGGTAGGCGTTAGCCTCCTTATTACTTAGCTTTAGATCGAGATAGTTTTCCTAGTAGGAGGTAGATTTACCGCGCACGGCGCGCTCCTATATTACCTAATCCCTTTAATTAATAAGGGTAATAGCGGCCGCCTTTTATTCGGCGTTAGATACGTTAAAAGATATCTTTACTTACTTATTGGTTAATTAATTAATTAATAGGTAGGTTAGTAGGTTAATTAATCGCTTAAGTACTCTAATCAGGTTGATAGTAGTTATTTAAGAGTGCTTATATAAACGTGATTACTTTTATTGTGGAATAGGGGTAGCCTTATTAATATCTATCGTTTAGACGTTATAAACCGGGCTTATAACTATCGTATATTAAATAGCACTTCGATAATTAACTTAGTAGAGTAGAAATCTCGTATAGGTGTTTTCCATTAAGTTACGTCTATATATGTCTCTTATACCCTTAATTTAGGTGGTGAAGACCCTGTTATAGGTACTATATTAATTAGATCCTATCCGGTCTTTTCCGGTATCCGCCCCTATTATATCCTAATACCCGAGGCCCAAAGTGTCGTATAGGCAGGACCATAACATAGTCTATAGGGGATCCAGGGGGGATCCACTCCCTGACTAAGGGCATCGGACCTCGGGTATCAGGATATAATAGGGGCGGATACCGGAAAAGACCGGATAGGATCCAAATAATATAGTACCTATAACAGAGTCTTTACCACCTAAAGTAAGGGCCTAAGAGACTCACACAGACGTAACTTAATAGAAAACACCTACACGAGATTTCTGCTCTACTAAGTTAATCATCCAAGTGCTATTTGACGTGCGACACGAAGACCTTAGTCAGGTAGTGGATCCCCCCTGGATCCCCTATAGACCACGTCGTTGTCCTGCCCATACGACAGAACTCCTGCCACTATAATTTCTATAGTGAAGATTCTGCAGGTGTCCACCCCGATTACTAAGGGTACAATCCTTCGGTCAAATCCGTGCCCGTTACATGACCGTCAATCTTACGGCCTGTCCGACAGACTGTGCATACACCCCCCCCCCTTCCCGGGTAGGTAATCACTACCCTCTTTCCACCCTACAAGTCACCAATTTTACCTGTTGAGCTCTAGATTCTGCAACGTCATTGCTCATTGCTGCCTGGACTGCTAACACTTTCACCCGGAGGTCATCGCCATGGCCCAACCTGTTCAAATCAAAGCGGAATCGCCATACATTAAACCAGACCCTGATGCATTCAGTGGCTCCGCTGTTGCCCTACCCGATGAAGACGATCTATACGAAGATGCTGGGGACCTTGAGTTCTTTGATTCAGCTGTCTCGCAAGGCTCGTTTGATCAGGCGTACCTAGCAAAAGTCCCCAAGGAAATCTGGGATGCTTGGAGTAAGCTTCCTGATGACGCGGATATTGAAGTGGGCACGATGAGGCAGTGGGATGTAATACGCCCGGACGGCACGATAGATGTTGGTTTACATCCCGTCTCGTCCTTGGAAGTTGTCATGCTAAGGTTGGCAGCACCGATTCCGCATGCTCCTGAATACGGAGCTCGCGGGGCACCAGCTCGTCCCAAGGGAATACGACCTCGAAATGAACCCTGACATTAGCCAGAACACTTACGTCTTTACGGAGGAGGACCTTCCTACTTTCAACACTAGATCGAAGGCGAGAAATGACGCCGCTAGCGGGATACCAGCCCATTTACTGCGAGCTAGGACTGAAAAAGTGAAAGAGAGACCGGCTAGAAAACCATTCGACAGAAAGGCTAAATGGCAACCATACTACCGAAAGGCGATTCCGAGTGAGTGGTTACGCGTTGCGCGGCTGGTGGGTGCCTGTACCTGACAGGACACAGAAAGAACAAAGATTGCGGCACGCATTCAATACGAGATGGGATGCAAGCCTGTTGACAACGAGGAAAACCGCGCCATACTGCAGCTGAAACAAATGGAGGCGCAGAAACCCAAGCACACACTCAAGATTGTGGACCATCATCAAATATCGGGTGTCATCCAACAAGGCTCAGCTGCTGCTCAAGCTAAGTTCGGGTCCTTCGTTGTACGCATCCTTAGGCTATTTCTGTTCAGAGGTCCCGGTTCTAATTTGACTTAGAAAACAACCAACGCTGTCAAGGCCACCAAACAGAAGAAGCTCGTCAATAAAGCTATTCGCATGGACGAGGCTGAATTGCGGGAGGCCCTGTTGGATGCATTTACCAACCGATATCAATATTGGAAGATGTCTGTCCTCAAGGCAACGTTCAACCAGCCAGAGGCGTACTTGCGACAAGAGCTGGAGAAGGTTGCTGCCCTCAATCGTTCAGGTCCTCACGCCAATGAATGGGAGCTAAAGCCGGAGTTCAAGTTTATTCAAAACCAGGCATTGGCTGAGAGCGCACCCGACGCAGGACCTGATGAAGATGATGAGCTAGACTTGGTGGATGTTCTTCCAGATGCATCAACTTAACCCTATTTAATATTACTAGGTCGTACCCTATAAAGGATTGGCTAGTAAAAAAAAGGGGATTCAATGGGGAGACCTCAAGTTTCAATATCGAGACCTCACAAGTGTCATTTTAGTGGGGCCATGACGCTACCGCTAAGATGTATATATACCGCACCTATTTTGTATATATATATTATGTAAAAAATCGTCCGTAATATAGTAACTAACTTAATCTTAATACTTAGCTTGGACCTATAAGGGTAATCGGTTATTTTATATAGGATATTATATAGGATATCGTGACTTATTATTATATTGCTTTGGATGGTTAGATTTAGAGTTATAGTATAGGAAGTAATATATTAAGGTTTACTATATTACCTACGATATTCTATATAAAGTGTATATATAATATAGGTGCGGTATATATATATATATATATTAGCGCCGGGTTTATAGCCCTACTCAAATATTTTATTTAAGATCTCGATATTAAAACGTAAGGTCTCCCTACTAAGTGCCTAAAAAAGGGTTAGGAAAGTATTATCGAATATAGTATAACTGTAATTATAGTAAGAGCTATACTAAGGAGTAGTCACGTAACTACTAGCTATAGAGTGGCGATATAGGCAGAGATAGTAAGAGGTAATACTCTACTAGCGAGAGCGTAGGTCTTCTATAAGATATCTCTAGGTTATACTATATTAAGACTACACTATTTATACTATATTAAGACTATACTATTTATACTATAATACTATACTATCTTTATAGATAGTAGTAACTATTATGCTTTTGATTTAATACTAAGGAGAATAGCACTATTAATTACGTTCTTATAAACTAGCGTTTCCGTACTAGAAAGATAACACTAACGTAAACCGAGGCGTTATTATAGGTGTACTATAAGGAGTAATAGGCTACTATAGAGCGATAGAAGATCACTTAGGGACTAATAAGAATTAAGGAGGGGGTATCGTGATAAGATTATTCGTTAAGTCCTCGCGAGACTCTAGGAATTATAGAAGGCACTCCCCTCTTTATACCTATACGCTAATTCCCCCGCCCGACGCGTCGAATTCCACGAAAAATCTATTATATAGATTAAAAAGCGTGAGTGTGATATTCTTATATAAAGATTGCTTCACGTCTCTGAATCCTGTGATCTCTTTGGCTATCGGTAGTAGTATATGAATAGACCTAGCCTACGCTATACGGGCTGGCTTCGAGTTCCTTTTAGCAGTAAGCTTCTTAATATAGGGTTACCGTGTATCCGTGGTTTAAAGTCTACGGTATTACTTAAAGAGGTTTACCTTCTATTCCTCGAGTGGCTTTATCTTTATAGCGAAACGCGGGATATAGTATTATAGCGAATTAGCTAATCCGATCTAGTATTCTAAACTCTTAAGGGTTCTCGGGAACTCGATAGTGCTAATAGCCTTAATCTTCTCCTTTAGTGTGGAAAGGCTTTACGCGTCGACTATTTTACTAAGCACTAAAGCGGATAGTATTCCGATAAAGGACTTCTAGGGTCTATTAAAGATATTATATTATTGGAATAGTGTGAAGATTTCCCGTAGGTATTAAAGGTGTTCTTCTAAAGTGTTACTATAAATCACGATATCGTTATAGTAAGTGATAGCGTGTATACCTAGTAATAGGTTATCTATTATCCTCTAAATATAGGCGTTCGAATTCTTAAAATCTATAAACGGGTAACAGAACGTAAACTGCCTATTTCGTATAGAAATCGTAAATGCCTATCTATAGTCTAGGTGAACTTACTATTAGTAGTAAAAACTAATAGCGTTAAGTACCGTGATATACTTTTTGCTAGACATATAGTATAGGATCTTTTCCTATATACGTATAGGGTATATATCGGGTATCGTAGTATCGTTAAGTGGTCGAATAATAACGACTATACGACCCTTTCGTTTACTATTCTCGACCGTGTAAATAATAAAAACCGGCCAGGAGAACGGGATATAGTGGATAGTACGGTAAGCCTTACTATCGGTGACGAGTTTATCCGTGTTATCCTTAATAACCTCCTTATCGTCGGTATTAGCAGGGTAGAGACGATATCTTTTAGGGATCCGGTTATACTAATCGGGCCGTATAATAATACGTATATATAGATCCTCCAGAACGCGCGCAAAACCCTTGTCCTAGAATACATCCTAGCACTCTGAAACTACCCTGTTTAGGGCCTGTGTACCGTAACGTTTATATATATAAACGCCTATCGGGTATAGAATTATAAATTAGTCGAGAGATTCGATATCCTTTATTACCCTTTTAGGTTACGGTACTCGAGGTTGGGCCTGCTATATAGTGTAGTCTTTTAGTATATCTTCCGGTATTAATTCCGTGTAGAGTGCTTCGACTATCTATATAGTGGCTCCCGGCTTAATAGAGGTAAGGTACTCTATATATATACCTGGTATTATAACTGCTTCGGATTCGGACTCGTTCCGGGGTAGGATATCTTATAGTCTTGCGTTATAAAGTAACGCGTATATTTTAACTAGGAGACCTACTAGCTTAAAGATATAGTCTTAGTCGTGTGGGGCCGAATAAAGGACGCATAGCACACTAGAAGCGTGTAGGGCTAAGGTAGCCTATATATATGCTATTACCTTATTATAGTGTTATTAGGACCTGTTATAGAATATTATGGGGATAGATATCTAGTAGCTTTTAATATATATAATATTTATACCATTCGAGACATTAAAGTGTTTAGGCGATATATATTCTATACCTAGTAGTAGATTAGTTCGCAGATTATCTATAACTAAGGCTTTACGTGTAAACTTAGTAATAGCCGGTTAATCGTTATATATACCCCTGAACTGGAAAGAAAGCAGTATATACTCCTTTATTATATAGGAGTTATCTGTGATACCCCGAACTATTAACGGTATAGTCCTAAGGCAAATAGAAACGTTAGGGTAGTGTTAATAAAGAAACGATTAATCTATTAGCGTGGTTAAGTATCCCATATCGGTATAAATATCGATTCCTTTATTAGACTTAACGTCTAGCGTGATCTTATATTTTAGTTAAGAATAGGACCGAAATCTATATCCCGTACCGATATCTTTAGCGGTATCTGCTATAGACTAGCGAACTTCCGGGGTCACCACCTTAGGCACTATAGGTAGACCTAGGATTATAGAGTCGGTAGCGTACGCCGTCGCCGCTAGTTTCTAGTACTCTATACGGATATAGTAGTGGAGTTTATTATTACTGGAAAAGATCTAACTATAATACTTATAGGTTCGTGGAGATAATACTACGGGACTTAGAGTAGTAAAAGTATAGTAGTTATAGATTACGGAAGTGTTGTTTTATTCCTCGGGTTCTATCTATCTATCCTCTATATATTCAAAGAAATCGTTATTACCGGTGGAATCGGGTAGGCCCTATTTATAGGGTGTATAGTATTCCGACGGAGAAGGGCTAGGATACTCCGAAGGCTCCTTATTAGGCTAATCTAGTTTAGTATAATACGCCCTAATAGCCTTAGGTTGCTAATTAGGCTATAGCGGAGACTTAGAGTTAGTGTTTTTTATATAGTTTAGCTTAGTAAATTGCTGTTATCTGAATCCGGGTATGGATTAGTTCTACTCTGCCTTCTAGGGACGCGAAGGGCCTGTATTTTCGTTCGCGCTACGTCCGTATCCGGCAGGATTATTCTGCTGTTATATGGATAGATAGTTCCTATTATACGGTCCTCTGCTTTAGTACTAACCGGTGGATATTATACCGTAATTAGGGCTATATATCCGATTATCGTTTCGGTTATCCTGTCGTCGTTTATCGTATAAGCGATTAATATTAGACCGATTATCGCGAATATAGGACTAGAAACTATTATGTGTTATGGGCCTCTCTACTAGTAATCGGAGTGCAGTATCTTTATATTAGATATAGTCTATCCATTTAGCGTAGGTTATAGATATCCTATGCTACTCGATGATCTTCTTAACCTCACGATTAAATGTGTTCTAAATAATGATAAGTCTACCCTCTTCGGTAATATATACTGCTTTAGCTTCTCGGGTTATATACTAGACGTAATCCTCGAGCGACTTTCCTGCGGCTATATCCCTAATACTACATCGACCTATAAACTAACGCGAAGCGGCGACATTAATTAGAGTCTTAAATCGTTCGATTAGCTTAGTATAGATGTTATGCACTAGTCCGTCATGTATAAGGTCCCTGTTAGTATCGCTAAGGGTCCTAGTATACTATATAAGTGCTTTACCTTATAAGCAAGTAGTCTATACACGTCGAACTCATTCCTCTTAAGTTTTAGCGAGATCCTTAAGGCCATCGGTGAATACGTAGATATTAGTATAAACTATAGACTTGCCGTTATTGATAATTCCTTATTACTCCGGGTCCTTAGCGTCAGGATTAAATATGCCTATATCGATAGGACGGGGAGGGGTATCCCATAGGAAGTTAGTATTATGTTAATCCTATAGTGTAGAACCGCTACCGGCTCTATTCCTTAACGTCTACTATTATCCCGAATCGGGAGGATCCGCAGGTTTTTACTAATGCTAGCGTATATCCTCCTATAGCTACTAGACTTACTGCTATAGGGGTTAGATAGCTTATTGGATAAGACGTATTAACCGAGTATCTATATCCTCCTATTCACGGGAATAGTCGTGGTGTGATATAACTCTCCTTTATTTAACTATAGAGTCGTCTAAGTCCTGTTTACCTATGGGGTCGCTTAAATCCGGGGACTATAGTAGTAAGGGTGGTATAGTAATGGATTAGTCTAAAGCGAACAAAGGTAGATATATAGATTAAGTAGTGTAGGGATTAGACTAAGGTCTTAGGCGAGCTAGGGCCCGAGGAGTCTTTTATGTGCGAGTCTAGTATATGCTGTCTGCGTAATTAGGAGGTATGGAAATATAGAGGGATTTTAAGGCCGCTATAGCGGTGTTAGTTATATCCTCGCGTGGATAAATATGAATCGGGGTTTATATAGTATTACGTGAAGTCGACTATTCCTATATCGGTTATTCCTGTGTTAAGTAAGGCTTATTAGAAGCGGGGTAATCGAATATATTATAGATTACTTCTGCCTAATCTCTAAAGGACTATAATGCTGAATATACTAAGGTAACACGAGAGAGCCAGGTATATGGATATAGGTCTTCTCTATCTCGAAGCTTATCGATATCTAAAGCCTAGTATACGCGTAGGAATTACTATAGGGTTATTACGTCTATAGGCGTAAACTAAGACGTAAACTTGCCCTCGGCGTTATAGTATCTAAGTAGTTATCTAGTATGGAAAATAGTGTCTATCTATATTAGGTTAAGTTTACCGCGAAGGAGGCTTAGTATTCACTAAATCTAGTAAAGGGTTTTCTATAGGTCGCCCGAATAGACTTAGTATTAAGACGGGCTTCTGTAAGCTGCCTAACTAAATTTAGTGTTATAACCTAGGGCCGGTATAGGTGGAGCGCGGTGGGATAGGTCTCGTGTAAGTTTTCGATATTTTACTTTAGTTTCTTAGTGCGGAAGCGCTGGTTTAAGAAAATTATAGTTAATAGTACTATTCTCTCTAGTATCGAAAGACGATGATAGTTACTACCACTATAGAGGTAACCTGGTATAAGGGTTAAACTGGTGATATCTCTTATAATAAGCTAGAGTATCTAATGCTAAAGCGAAGTGGAATAGCTATATACTACGTGTCACGTGACTCCAGTTAGTGTCACGTGACCCGAGTCGCTAGCCACTATAGTGTGGCTCCGCCACAAGATGGAGAAGTCAAAGCTCGTGACTGTCGGTACGTACCTTAGTACTGTGTCCAGTGAAAGCGTAAACCTAAGTGGGTACCAGAAATTCCTGTAAAACCCTAACCTTTTCGTTTTCACAAATACACGAGCGTCCACCTAGCAGCTTGCCATCCCATTACTCCGTCACAACGACATCGACCGTCTCCCCAAGATCTAGGTCGGAGAACCGCCAAGATGCGTAAGTGCTCTTCCTCTCTGACATATTGTTCTCGTGCTGCTTTCTAACGCGACTTCTCACTTCAGCTCCCAAATTCGATCCCAATGAGGTCAAGGTCATGTACGGACACCCTATCCCGACTCTCCGAAGACAAGCTGGCTAATTACCCTGTCATCACAGCCACCTCCTTGCCACGGGTGGTGAGGTTGGTGCTTCGTCAGCTTTGGCCCCTAAGATCGGGCCCCTAGGTCTTTCTCCCAAGAAAGTTGGCGAAGATATTGCGAAGGCGACAGGCGATTGGGTGAGTAACCCGATGTGCAATGATGAAGAGCCACTGCTTAAGACTGCGTTACAGAAAGGACTCCGCGTCACGGTGAAACTTACCATACAAAATCGCCAAGCCGCCGTCTCCGTTGTGCCGACCGCTTCCTCCCTAGTCATCCGCGCATTGAAGGAACCGCCCCGTGATCGCAAGAAGGAGAAGAATATCAAGCACAACAAGTCTGTTTCGTTGGACGAGATCATCGAAATCGCGAGGACCATGCGATACAAGTCCTTTGCCAAGACTCTTGAAGGAACGGTGAAGGAAATTCTGGGCACGGCATTCAGCGTGGGATGCCAAGTTGATGGCAAGAGTCCTAAGGCGATTACCGAGGCGATCGAGGCTGGGGAGATTGAGAGTGAGGAACCACCCGTTCTACTGAGGATATTCATACATACTGACAACCAACTTCCACAGTTCCCGAGCAGTAACTTGGGCTCGGCGCATCAATGGCTGTATCTTGGCACTTCACGATTGGAGTTTGGGAAGACGCTCTGCATAACATGAACTCTCTCAGTGATCGGAATTGGTGCCTCGGAAATAAATTGCCCTGGTCGTGATTGACACGGTGATGCATTGTTTTGAATCTCCATATTACTGCTGATGACCATCGGCCCTTGACTTCACTCTGAGATATGTCTGCTCGCTATGGCATTTCTCAATTTCAGTCTCAAGGAAGAACAACTCCTATCGTCGGGACTGACTACTCACCACAGCTCCACTTATGGGTTGGAGATTGTGGTCCGTTTTCTCCAGTCTACATTGCTTAAAGATACTCCTGTCGAATACTATCAGGACAGGCTTTTAGCTATTAAATTGAATACATTTGTTGGCTATTGGAACAGAGCCTTGTGACCTGCACAGGAATAGGGTCTGCGGAATTGTTTTTAAGGAAACTACTTTAGAGGAACGATAACAACGTAAGAACTATACTGAAAATATTATACTACTCTATATATCTGAAACTAGCTTAAAGAGAGGAGACTTTCTGCACCCAATTAAGCCTTACGTATGAAAATAAAGACTAGTATAAATTTTATAAACTGCTTAAGGGAACTAGATATGAAATTTATATATAGTTAGAAGAATAGTTATTCTTCGAATGATATATAAGTTAAACTATATCTTTAGTTTAGTAGCTTACTAACTACTAGTTAACTTATATTATTTAGTATATAGAACTGACTTTCTAATAGATACAGTTTTAATATCAAGTAATTTATGTATTATACTTTCTTTAAAATATTAAATAGATAGAGAAATGAATTTATAGCCTTATAAGAGAGCCTATATAGAATATTTCTCGCGGTATAGGACGTAGGGCGCTAATATACTGATATCTCTATATATCTAATCTAATATATATATACTAGTTAAGGAATATTGAAATATATATATATATAAAGATGGATATCAAGGTATAAAGGTATATGGGTATAAAGGTAGTATAAACGAGAAACAAAATAGTTCTTTAATTGCAAAGTTAACTGCATTGAGAAACTTATTATAGTAGTAGGAAAACGACGCGAAGATAATGGACATAAAGGGTACTTTACTCGTTTTTTAGTTCTAACCTAATTATACATATTGCTACTTTGTTAGGATATATATAATAAACAGATAGTTCAGTACCTTAGTATACATAACGCTGCTCTGCTCCTCCTTATACTATATAGACCGACGAATATTCTACCTTAACGCTTTAGTATAGTCCTTAATATTATAAGTCAACTTTACTACACGATAATATAGATAATACCTGATTTAATAACTACGTAATTTATAGACTTTTAGATACGTAGACTTTAAATAGTATATAATTCAATGTATATATTTATGTTAGTCTAAAAGGGTTTAAGAGTTAAGTTAATAATTATGTATTTAAAATAACTATAGTAGTTTTAATAATTAGTCAAAATTATTACAGCTTATTATAATAGTTATTGTATATGTAGTATATACTAATTTCTTAAAGTTAATATATACCTATTACTTTATATTACTGGTCTATGTAGTAAGTATTATTCTATATATACTATCTTTAATACTATATAAGCTAATTAATATTGTATTTAGACGAATGTTTCTATATAATTTTATAATAATTAAAGTTATTATTTTTATAGTACGAGCCTTTTAAGTAGTATATATATACGACTGTATAGCATTATATATCTAACTTATTAGCTAAGGTAAGTAGGAGTATAGTAATCAATTATAAGTATATTGACTATTTTTTAATATATACTTAAGTAAAGATATTTATTAGATCAGAAAATATAAAGAAATATACGAGTATATATTTAGTCTTATTAAAATATATTACGATAACTACATATATCTAAGTATTATATAAAATGCAAATTAAGTAGCTAGGAACTATAATAAGTATATATCGCTTCACTTTAAAACTATCAAATGTATAACTCTAATTTCCTTAGAATTATAAACCTTAATACTAGAATACAGATATAAAAACCAAATACAAAGTTAATAAACTTATTAAGAATAATACATCTATACTATAGATTTATATAACGCTGGTTTCAGGACGTTATTTACCGAATAAAGTCTATAGATTTCCCTAATCCTAGCCCCTTAGTTCCTCGTCATTCTTAGTCATCTACCAGTTGGGCTGAATGTGACGAAATTTTCGCTTAGGCTCCTCTGCTATCCTATCCCCGCCACCCCTCGCAGCCTGTTATCACCTCTAACTGAAGTTTCACGGCGACTGTTCATTCCGGCAGCCTATCTTCACCCCTGCAACTCTTCCACGGCTGCTTTTTCGTGCGTCTTAGTGTCTTTTCCACCTAAATAGCTTCGAATTTATCCCTTCCTAGCCGTATCTTCCACTAACTCTCTTTCATTAGGTTAACCACCCACGGTTTACTATCATTCTCACCCCATCCAACCATCCAGTACACACTCACGATCATGGCCGCGGAGCAGCAGCAGGTTCCGACCTTCAAGCTTGTTCTTGTTGGAGACGGTGGCACTGGCAAGGTAACAACATACACTATGACTATCCCTTCTACTATCTCTAGGTTCTCGTACATATCAATGGCGGCTCTCGCACACGGCCATCCCATCATGAAATCAGCGCCTGATTGTCATTGTTTTGATACTAACCTCGGCTTTCATAGACTACATTTGTTAAGCGCCACCTGACAGGCGAATTTGAGAAGAAATACATGGCAACACTCGGTGTTGAAGTCCACCCTCTTGGCTTTTCGACGGTGAGTTATATATACTCAGCCACAAAGACGTCTCCATCCCATCTCCAAGAGCAAAAGAGTAACAAAGAGTATTATACAGAATTTCGGCAACATCCAGTTTGATGTCTGGGACACCGCCGGCCAAGAGAAGTTTGGCGGTCTCAGGGATGGCTATTATATCAATGGCCAATGTGGTATTATCATGTTCGATGTGACTTCTCGCATCACTTATAAGAACGTCCCCAACTGGCACCGTACGTCTTCCCACTCTTTCAACAGTTTTCAGACTAGCTATACTAACTATGTGTGGAATTAAGGTGATCTTGTGCGTGTCTGCGAGAATATTCCCATTGTTCTGTGTGGGAACAAAGTCGATGTGAAAGAGCGCAAGGTCAAGGCCAAGACGATCACTTTCCATCGCAAGAAAAACCTTCAGTATTACGACATCTCAGCGAAGTCCAACTACAACTTCGAGAAGCCCTTCCTCTGGCTTGCTCGCAAGCTTGTCGGCAATCCCGCCCTTGTAAGATATCCTTCATCCATACTCCTCATCAGTATTATGATGCTCGAAAATGCTTGGATCATGTAATGTTAATCTGTCTGTTACAACACACAGGAGTTTGTCGCTGCTCCCGCCCTCGCCCCTCCTGAAGCACAAGTTGACCATAAGTTTTTGGCCGAATGTGAGAAAGAAATGGAGGTAGCTGCTCAGGTTGTTCTCCCAGGGGAGCTTTCTGACGACGACTTGTGAGCGAAATAACGCTGCTGTCCATCAGTCGTCTTAAAATGGGGTTGACGGGGCACAAGCACATACTGGAGGGTTTTGGTCAGGTCAGGTGGAAATTCGCGATAGTATGCCACAACATCACCGGTGGGTGCCACTGGCGGCTATCTGTCAATGGGCCCTAAGCTAGATGTTGCATTGAGTGCCGGAATGAGGATACCAGCAGGCATATGCGTCAGCGGAATGGCCTGGCTAGATAGCATCAACGACCCCCAAAGCAAGACATTCAGTTACATGCTATTCGACGATCCGTTGTCACCGCGGACGACCTAATACTGATTTCCGTGACCTATTTATGCCGCATAGCCGTGGTTCCTGACTAAGGGGCCCTTGGCCTCCTCGGGCCTCGGGGCATTAATATAATAAGGGGGGCTAATTATAAAGGGTCAGGATATTCCGACTATGCTAACCGGATAATCCGACTATAGTGCAGGTGTTAACACTATCGTATAGGCACACGGACCACGACGTGGTCCCTAGGGGATCTATGCCTGACTAAGGGCTTCGGATCTTGGGGACCTCGGGTATTAGGATATAATAAGGGAGGATACCGGAAAAGACCGGATAGAATCCAAATAATATAGTACTCATAACAGAGTCTTTACCACCTAAATTAAGGGTATAAAAGACTCACACGGATATAACTTAATATAATATATATATAAAAGATATCTGCTCTATTAAGTTAATTATATAAGTGCTATTTAAATATACGATAATTATAAGCCCGGTTTATAACGCCTAAACGATAGATATTAATAAGGATACCCCTATTCTACTATAAAAGTAATTACGTTTATATTAGCACTCTTAATAACTACTAGCGATCTAATTAGAGTAATTAAGCGATTAATTAACCTACTAACCTATATATTAATTAATTAATTAATCGATAAGTAAGTAAAGATATCTTTTAACATATCTAACGCCGAATAGAAGGTAGCCGCTACTACCCTTATTAACTAAAGGGATTAGGCGATATAGGAGTATACTATATGTGGTAAATCTGCCTCCTACTAGGATAAGTACCTTAATCTAAAGCTAAGCGATAAGGAAGCTAACGTCTACCTACTCCTTAAGCCTATATTACCTAATATCCGTAAATACGAAGCCCTTATTAACCCTAACACGATAAAGGAGGCCACGGCTAATCCGCCTTCTACTATTATACTAGAGGGCGATAAGGCTACCAATACTATAAACGCCACTATTACCACGGCTACTACGGCCGTTACCACGGCCGCTACCACGGCCGCCGGTAAGAAGAAGACGGCCGCTCGCCGGAAGGCTATGGCCGTAATAAAGAAACCACTGATAAGGACGCCTATATCTATTAATAACCTCTATAAAAAGGGGTATACGCGCTACCTATAAGATTATCGCGTATACCGCGAGGAAAGGGCTAACTACGAAGCGTAGTAAAAGGGGTTTAATAAAGTATACTCGTATATTAAAGGGACTATTTATACTATATTATATAACCTCCTCGCCTAGATATAGAATAATACCGTTAATAACCTATAAGCCTAGATTACTCTTCTCCACGCGTATAAAGGACCGACCCCTATAGACCTCTATAAGGAAGCCTTAGTCCTATACCGATAATACACCATGCCTATAAAGGCTATACCTAAGGATATAAACGGCTAGGTTATAAGCTAGAAAATAGCGATAATATACTATAAATATATAGGCGTTTTAGAGCTATTAAGCGCGGACTATTAGGCAGAAGACGCGTTAAAAGCTATTAGACCTATCGCCCAGGAATAGAGTAATAACTACCTAGTAAATAACTATGATAAAATTACGGAAAATAAGCTAACGATTAATAACTTCGTAAAGGTTCTAAGGGCGGTTCTTAGTAGTATAAAGAGCCTATAATCCTCCGCTATAAAGCCTAGAGTCGGGAGAGGCACCTTAAACACCCTTAGGAACCTCCCCGATACTAAGGATACTACTAATAATAAAGATAATAAGAAGCGTCCTTATAGTAATACGTCTATAAAGGCTATCCCTCCCGTAATAAGGAGGCCCTATAAGATATATAAGAATACCTCTACTACTACCGCTTATTAGTATATAAGGCCGGATATACGCCCTTATAGCTAGCGTGGCCGTAAAGATATTACGAAGGTTATAGAAAAGAAGATACGTAACTATAGTTTTAAAAGCCGCGTAGACACCACGATATAGAAAAGGCGGGAAGCCTTAGGGGCTACTACCGCTAATAAGATAGAGGAAGTCTAGGAAGATTAACTCTATAATACTACGCCTAATATAACTACTATACTATAAAATCAGGGGCTTTCTACGCCGTCTATAAGTATAGTTTAAAAAGACCTTTCTATTACCGCGAGTATACGGCTAGGCGTCTAGTCCTCCTAGAAAAGGGGGGTAGCGCGCCCTTATACGATAGTACTATTAAGATTATAATAGGGAGCGTCCCTCTTTATTAACTAAGCTAAAGTATTACTACACTACACGATTCTAGACTTAGGATCGTTAATCTATATCTTTAATAATTAAGGCCGTTTTATAGCCGTTAGACTACCCACTAATACTTTATCTTTATCCCTCTAAGTGGGCACCTATAAGGAACCTATTCTTAGATACAGAGACGATTAAACTACGTGTATAATTCCTATCCGGTATAAATAGGCTACTACGCCTATATAATACCGTATACTATAAGGAGTTCGTTACTAATATTGTCTCGGAACGCTAGCTACGCCTATAAGGCTATCTCTAGGATACTATTAACGATATTATTATTAGCTCTGCTAATAACCGGCCTATCTATAAGCTACTGGATATCCACGGCTAGTATATCATCGAGCGCGCGGAAGCTATAGCGGCTACCGCGTTTACGGTTTCGGCTCGGTATCCCCGCGATAACCCGTATAGAAGATCACGATAACCGCGGTAGGTATAGAGGACCATGGCGTAAAGGTATTATAAACGCCTCGCCTATTATAGCACTAATACCCTTGTAAGAATCTTTAACGCTATTTAGGGGGTAAGGATTAAGGGGCCGCGAACCGTAAAGTATAACGCGTATAGATAATCGTAAATGCCTGCGTAGATTAGACGTATACTATCCCTCTACCCGTTAAGGCCCGGCGAAGCCCTGGCTATCGATTTTTATAATCTAGAAGAGTCGGAATCGCTAGGCGGCCTATATAAGTCTATTATATTTATTATAGACGTGTTTATAGGATATACGTAGGATTACTACCTATAAAAGAGAGACTAAGGCTCTATCTTTTATACGTTAAAAGACGTTTTTACCCTATACAAGACCTAATTCGATATTAGGCTATATAGCCTACGAGCCGATTCCGAGATATTTTAGTAACTAGAAGTCGTTACTTTCCTCGCTGCTAAGGGAGTAAAAGGTTAGCCGTTGGCACTATATTTATAGGATTAAAATAGCGTTATAGAACGGAATAGAGGCATCGTTAAGAGAAGGGCGACGGCTTTAAGGATTAGAGCTAATCTGCGTGTATCTATCTAGCCTAAGATCTTTAAGACTACTATATATCTATATAATAGAACCCCACAATATATTCACGATTAGAAGACGCTATATAAAGGCCTGCGCGGCCGTTAACCTAACCTTACCCACGTACGAGTATAAGACTATAAAGTCTTTATAAAGACGTGCGATGCCTAGGCTAAAAGGAACCGCGTATAAAGGCTAGAACCAAAGGCATAGATCAGTTATTACGTTAGATACTATTTCTCGAATAGCTTCCGTGTATAGCTGCTATACCTAATGGATATTATTACTATAAGAGACGTAATCTTTAACGAAGATAAGACCTTTAACGGTAGTATTAAAACGCTATAAGCTATAGCTTCCGCCGAGGAAATTAGAGAACGCCTATAATCTATCTATATTACCTAATTTAATAATATAGCAATCGTGAATAGCCTGCTATTAAGGGGTATAGCCGTAGACGTATTAGATCTTAAGTCGGAAGACTTTAACGCTACCGCTATTATTATAGGAGAAGACCACGCTACCGTTAATACTATAGGTAAAGGCGACGCGACCGCTATTACTACGGAAGAAGGCGAGGCTATCGCTATTACTACGAGAGAGGCTACCGTTATGACTACGGATACCGCTACTACTACGAATACTCCACGGTTTACTACTACGAGGTTTAAACTGTTTCCTACTCCCCTAATATCCCCGGAAGATCCTGCGCGCGTGTTTCTTATAGTATTAGCGGTGTTCCGGGGCGTAAAGGTAGAAGAAGACGATAACTATTAACGGGTAGCCGTGGATACCCCTAAAGGGTCCTTATCGGCTACATATCTGTCGGCCGCACGCTTATTAGCCGCGCGTCTATTACCCGCGCGCCTATCTATCGCGAGAACTATTATAAGCCTTTACACGACTAAGAAGTTATAGAACGATAATACCTAAAAGGCGTTCTTTAACTCTAGAAGGAATTATAACCCTATACGTATAAGGCAGTAAGCGATTAATAACGGTAACGTCGGCGCCGGCGTTATAGACCCCTCTCCCTCTAATACTTTTTAGCCGCTATCGCGCCTAACCCTTGAGGATCTCCCGCCTCTACTAAACCACTATTATAATATACGCCTTTACCCGTTATAGGGGCGGTGGTTATAGGCTAAGGGGGAATACCTTAAGGGTACTAATAGATAGACTACTAGTAAGAGTGATATGCCCTAACCAGGTATATATCTAGCCAGCCAGTACTATAGGACCTAGGAGCCAGGATTTCTAAGGGGTGACCTTAGGGTACCGTAAATAGTGGTAAAATAAGATATCTTCTCTAAGCTAGATAGGGGCGCGCCCCCGGGACCTAATATACCCACTGGTAAACCCCGTAGGATCCTCGGTATCTACGTATATAATCCTCCGGGTGCCCTAAGGTATCCCGTGGACTCTATAGTGTATACCGAAGGTATCCACGGTATACCCCGTAGGTGCTATAGTGTATACTATAGTACCTCTAAGGTACGCCTATAGTACATCGAGGTATACTCGGAGGTGTCCTCGGGCGTTTTAATTACCCTGGGCGAGGAAGCCCTATATCCAGCGGGCTTCCCTTAGTAACTACGATAGCCTCGCTAAAGGCATGTTACGGTTATACTAGTAAACTATAGTGTAGTTAGGAGATAATAGAAGGAAAGGGTAATCTTCGGCGGCGCCCTAATAATAGCCGCTGTCGTGGCTACCCAATATAATATTCCGATCCCTA